ATCTAAAACATACTTATTATCAGTGTTGTACGTTTTGATGTACATTCTAAGAATGCGTTTGTAAAACGCACCACTTTATAACGTCTTATAAAACGTTCTAAATGACCATTACATCGTCATAGAACGAACGACACGCCCTCTGAATGTGGTCTTGATCATTACAAAATTCCCTTAATGGAAAAATACTTCAACTCTTTTGTCGAGATAAAAAATCACGTAGAAAACGTTTTCGCTTACAGATTCCAGAAAGACAGAAATCTCAAGTTGCCTGAAAGACGGAGAAAGATTTTTTATCATTTTTAAAGCAAGAAATGCACAATTTACAAACATATAAGAATAAAGAAACTGAGCTCATTGAGCCGAGTAACAGAGTGGATATGTATATATATATATACTTTTGGTAAGACTGATTGCAATCAAAATACGAGGTGCACATCTACATGTTATAGAAGTCCTATATACAAAATTTCAAAGTTCTGAGGCTAATCGTTTTTGAGTTATGCGAGATACGTTCGAACGCAAAATTCTCTTCAGAATTCATTTTAAATCGGTTTTATAATTCGTTTGGGAAAAAAAAAAAAAAAAAAAAAAAAAAAATCGTTAAATTGCATTCGATAGCTCTCAAAATGGATATTATCGTTGAAGTGTGATACCCGAAATTTTTCACGATTACAATACTTCCTTTTTACTTCGTACAAAGAAGTAAAAAGGAAAAAGAATAGTTTATAATAGGAGCACATTTATAATAGGAAAATACTGTGCATGTGTTTGCAAACGGAATAAATTCATTTCATTGCTTAAAACAAAAACAACACACTGCATATAACAAGAAAAAAAGCATCGTTTGAAATAAAGACGGTTAAGTTATTTAAATACTGAAAAGCTATCAAGGCGGTTCCTCTGTCTGTCTGTTCCATCCCTCCTCTGTCAAAGAGGTGGGATGCCTTCATGGAACACTCACTAAGGGAAACTGGTTTGTATTTATGTTACATATGGGGAAACCACGAAAACCAACCATACAGTTAACGCGTTCGCCTGTTTTCAAGCGCAAACCAGATCAAACTATCTGCATTCTGAATGCAGACCTTAACACCTAGGCCAGTGATGGGGCAGAAATGAAGAAACTAAGGTAAGATAACATTAAAGAGGAATATTTACAAGAGAACTTAAACCATGCTATTTAGTTTAAACTCGTGTAATAAAGTCTGTTAAAACTTATATTTTTTATTGCACAATATTTATATGTACAATTAAAATACGCACTGTCATGGCTAAACACAGTTCCCAAATGCTATGACATCATCTGCTGTGACTGCTCCATTTTTTTTTTTTTTTTTTTTTTTTTTTTCCTGTTTACTTCCTTGTACGAAGTAAAGGAAGGATTGTAATCGCCAAACATTTCGGATATCATATTTTAACGAAAATATATATTTTGACCGCTATCGAATGCAAATTTAACGATATTTATGTGACATCTGTAGGTAAGGACGGAATAAAGGACACTTTTTCCTAAAACGGGTTGCAAAATGGATTCAAAATAGATTCAAAAGAGATTTTTTTCGCGACGTTTGTTTGGACGTATTTATGTATCACGCATAACTCAAAAACGAATACCTTCAGAACTGTGAAATTTTGTATATAGGACTGCTATAACATGTAATTCTACACCTCCCTTTTTGGTAGCTATCCACCGTATATATATATATATATATACGGTGGATATATATATATATATATACACTCATTCTGTTACTTGGCTCAGTGAGCTCAGTTTTTTTTTTTTTTTCTTAAGTTGGTAAATTTTGCTTTTTTATTTATTTATTTATTTATTTATTTATTTAAGAAATGATTGAATTAATGTTCTTATGTTCGGGTTAAGGTTTTTAGGCCTTTAATTAATCTGCATGCAATAGTTGTAGAATTATCAATAATTTAAATGTTGTTTAAATGCGGCTAAGCCTAACTTAGCAGCCAAATTTGATTAGATTTGAAAATTAGCAGAATAGTGAATTAAGTCAGTTTCTTCACTTTAAGTGTCTTTTTGCTGAGTGGGACCAAAACTAAACTTAACTAGACTGAACTGAAAAATCTGCCTTCTTGTCCGCTGGCCAAATAGCTTGTTTTTGCGTAGATACTCTAATTTTAATTGCAAAAATTGTTTTTTTAATTATTTTAACTGTATTTGGTTTTTTATTTTTTCGTATATTTTTCAATTTTTAATGAAGATATTTTGAGGTTTTATGTATTTTTGCCTTTTCTCAAAGCGAGAACTGAGTTAATTGAAAGAGAACTATATCTCTAATCGAATTCGAGAATATAGTTTAAAGGAAATGCAGCAAAAAGTGCGTATAATCTAATAGGCTGTATAAGGAAATCATGTAGTGTCCGCATCAGATTTTTTTTATTTCTATAGACAGTTTTATTTTATGTTGCTGGCTGATGGTTAGTAGCTGTAATTTTTTTATCATTCCGGTATAGACAAAATTAGGCAAAAAAAGGGGAGAAACAGGAACCGAGTAATTCACTCTTGTTTAACTGGAAGTTGATTGTATAACTTTTGGTTTAACTTAAAGTAATGTGCGATACAAAAACATGAGTATTCTGTTAGCTTGCGTGGACATACGTAACACATGTCTCTGAATAAACCGCAGACAATTTATAATTTTAATTATTCTGTCGCTTACACATTAACACTTCTATCTTTCAAGGTTATCTTCCATTTACTCCCTCTCTCCCGAAAATTGCGTGGTAAGGATTCAGCATAAATCAAAAATAGGAAACCGAAGTATTTAAAATTAATATCCCCTAAATGAGATTTTCATAAGCTTCTGAATTGCGAATTAAAATGACAAAAAACCTAAAGACAAAGGACAGTGTAAAAATTAAAATCTTAAGTATTAGGCAAATTATAAAATAGCTTGAATGAATAAATCCGTTCATGAGTACATCCGCGAAATTTATGCCTAAAAATATGGAAGAATCTATTTTTAACTCAACATAAATGGGAAATGCCAGAAACAAACGGATCTTGCCAAACCCGAATTTTGATTCTACGTGTATCACATAAAACAGTATATTTTATTTTTACCCTTCTACCTGCATAGTTAAAACTATTTTCGTAAAACTACCTGCCATATTTTAAAAACATTGGAGCTGCATATCTAAAATTAATATTTAAGGAACTAAAGTCTATAGCTACTTGCCCACTGGCGGTTAAGTGGCTGAAAGTGGTAGTTCGACCTGGGTTCGATTCCACACGAACGACCTGACTGCATGGGTGTTTTTGTTTGTATAGTTTACCCGTTGTGTAATGTGAATACGAAACTGTTTCCATAAGAAAATCCTCTACAAAGGCATATCCCTCAAGCAGATATCCTAACGAGCTTTGCCATAATGAAACAAACGAAATGAAACCAAACCTGTCGCTACCTTTTCGTCTTGCTTACTCTGTATACATAGAAAAGTCAATAATGAACTATAATTCACAGTAGGAAAAAATGAAAAAAGTAACCAAGCACATTATGCAGCAAATGTAGCAGTTGAACAAAATTCCGCAAATGATGACGTCATATTACCACCTAAGTCGCGGAAATGAAACAAACTGCAATTTTGGATTAACATTCCAAGGTTTAAAGCAAAATAATTTAAATTCCAAGTTTTTAAATGAAAAAACTTAAAATCATAAAGCATTATTTACAGGATCAGTAGTGTAGTATTAGGTTTTGCTGTCTTCGGATAACTACTTGAGTTACCTTTTCATTCTAAGTGATTCATCACGGCAATGGCAATCCAGGAAAGAATAGATATCGTCTATCTAAGCGCTGGAAAGAAGCTCTTCTGCTACTGCCGATCAATTTAACAACCTTCACCTCAACAGAACTAATTTTTCTCACAGTGGTATTGTTGGGTTATTGATTAGCGTACGAGAAACTCCGCAGTGAATGTCTGAAAACTACAACAAACTGAAGCAATAGTTTTCTCAGTTGAGGCGTACATTAAATGAAAAATTCCATTGTTTTTTATTGCTAATGTAACTTATCTCACTTGTTTGACAGTAACATTAGAACAAGCCCACGAAATTCATTGTGGCAAGGAGTGAAAGATTGCGCCTGTCATTGGCAAGAGCCTTGAAGACTATACAGGTGACAGTACCACTTTGCTCAGTTCCGCCCCCCAATTTTGAAGGACAGCACCTCGGGGGAACGGGTCCGAGGGTCTCTTGCCCCTCTTTCCCTGCCACCGGCCTCGCGAGAGGACTTTCTGTTGGCTTCGTATTTAGAGTGTCCCCATGCCTCACAGATACTATACATTTACAAACATCCATACCTTCTCCGAGATTCGAACCCAGGCCCTTCGGTACGGTAGTCAGCGTCCCTAACCACAGTCCCGGTTGGGCGGCATGAAAAATCCTTAATCTACGAAGCATCGAACACTTCTGGAAACTAGTGTTACTGGCATCCATTTAAGATTAAATTTTAAAATGAGTTTGAAACTGTTTTAGAGCACTAGATAAACTCATATAATGATGTACAAATAATAATTCGGAAATTGGTTTACATTTTATAGAAGCTTCAACAAACTGTAGAACTGTTGTTATATAGCGTGAAAGTAACAATATAGTTATTAAATTAACTTTAATATTGAAAGTTATTTTTAAAACACCAAAAAAAGTATATTAGCATTTAGTGATCATGAGAGGATTATTTCAAAGTAGTTATAACTTTCCTCTTCTTAGACAGATAGCGCTCGCTTACTTTCCGGTTTCAAACTAACGAACTATATTTCAAAGCTGGAACAGTAAATGTATCTTCAGTATAAATTGCTACAATCGGTGACAGACTGAAAATAAGGAAATCATTACTATACTGCGAATCGAAAACGAATATTTATATAGTCGCAATAAACTCCAATACTAAATACGCTACCTTGTCATTATCTGTTTGTGGAACTGTTTTAGATATTGAAAGTAAAATCTTGTAGATTTCTGCTTCCACTAAGGTGCTTTATAGAAATGAAATTCTATACTACATTGCTTACTTCTATTGTTCTGAAGATGAAACACCTACAAAAGTGCTAAAAACTCTATCAGTAGGCGTATCACGAAGAATGGGAGTTGGAGGTATCTCTTTCTGTTGTAAACGAGCATATACAAAAGGCGAAAATGGTTCCGTTGGAATAAATTGTCCAGTACCCTGAGTAACGTGTAATTTGCCATATTCAACAGCAACATTTCCTTTTGAAATAACATAGTCAGGAACTCCGCTAACCTTCATACCTTCAAATATATTAAAATCAACACGTTGCTGGTGTGTTTTAGAAGAAATTATGCGTGTTGCGTGTGGACCCCATACAACAACATCTGCGTCGGAGGAAATTTGAATTCTGCCCTTCTGGGGATAAATATTAAATATTTTGGCAGCGTTTGTACTAGTAACAGCAACAAAGCGACAAGGATCAAGTAAGCCGGTCGTTACACCTTTGTCCCATATAATTGACATTCTGTCTTCTACACCATTGACACCATTAGGGATTTTAGTAAAATCTTTTACCCCCATTTCTTTTTGGATCATGTTGAAGGTACAGTTATCTGATCCAGTAGTTTGCAACACACCACTAGACAGTAATTTCATCAAAACTGTTGGAGTTTCACGATTAGGTCGAAGAGGAGGAGACATCACATACGCAGCAGCATGTGTCCAACATTTATTGAAGTAATGTAAGCCATTTACTCCTAAAGCTGCTGCAATAGCTTCTCCATATACTTGATATCATTTCTGTCTCATTTTAGCAATGACTTCTCCTGCACTCTTACTCATTACATGAACTACATACAGAGGGCATTTAACACTTTCAGCAAGAATTATAGCTCTGTGGGTTGCTTCAGCTTCTACATCTTCAGGTCTGCTATACAAATGCCCTTCAGGTCCCGCAATTCCCATTTTTAGAAGCTTTCGTTGGTTCATTGCAATAATATCCCCATTTTCGGCATGAACTTGAGCCAACGCTCCAAGTTTTGCACAGTGTTCAAAAACTCTGAGTAAAGTTCTATCTGACATTTGGAAATCATTGTAAGCCATAAAAACTTTAAAGGAATTCACGCCTTTCTCTTTGGCAAGAATTTCCATGTCTGATTCTACTTCTGCATTCCACGATGTAATACCGATATGAAGGCTGTAATCACAGCAGACTTTCTCATCAGCCCATTTCCGCCATTTCTCGTAAGCATTCAGTAAGCAGCATTCTTGATCAATAACAAAGTCCATAATCATTGTAGTTCCTCCAGCAAGCGCAGCTTTGCTTCCATAGTAGAAATCATCAATGGATTTTGTTCCCATTAATGGGAACTGAAAATGGGTATGGGTATCAATTCCTCCAGGTATTACTAGCTTTCCTTTTGCATCAAGAAGTTTTACATCCCCAGGAATAAAGATATTTTTATCAATTTGTTTAATAATGCCATCTTCTATATAGACGTCTGCGTCAAACATTATGTCATCGTTGACAACTTTTTCCCCTTTTATCAAGATACGAGAATGAGAAGCTTCTTGCATTATTTCTTCCGAAAATCTTTACGTTTAAAAACCAGAGTTTTAAAGAAGAAATAATCGAAAAAAAGATAACTCTGTCTAATAAAAAAAAAAAAAAGAAATCGCCCCTGGTGACTTTAATAGGCTTTGGAATGTGAAAATATTCAACATGCGTCTTTAAACCTCCCTAACAAGTAAAAAATAAAGAAATTGATTACTTCCTCCTGTCTCCAGAATCAACTCAAACATCTTGTCTTTGATACTCTCATAAAAAGTTTTCCTTTCACTTAAGTTACCTTCGTGAATTGGTATTCTAACTTACTTGTACTTCAGGAGTACTTCAGCAGGACTCTCGCAATCTGTTGAGTAGACATTCCTCCAGATGCAGCAGATCAATAAAATGGAAATGTCGACAACTTATAAAAATTTTGATCAGTTTGAATATCGGCTGATAAAATTCTTCTACCAACAGCTTAATTGCAAAGTAATCTAAAATGTATATTTCCTAATATTTGTTGCCAAAATATTTATCTTATCAAATAAATTATTTATCGGCATAATACTTGTTAAACGAAAACTGAAATGGCAGTGGTGTATTGTAGATCTGTTTTTTGGCAACAAAAAATTATTTTATTTTTCTTAAATGAGTAGATAATTGAATAATTCTAATCGTGCTAATGGTCTAAACTATATCCGTTAAAATGCGATAGTTAAAAAAGATGTGTAAAAATCCTTCTAAATATTAACTTAACAAGTGTCAAGCATTGTTTCTTCTTATTATTAAGAAAGTCCTCCTATTAATCCTTAATTTATATAAAGATATTAACTCAAATTCTAACATAAATAATCATTCAGTAGAATATTTGGTACTTTTTCGTTGCCAAGCAGACTTTATTGGCGACAACATACAGTATACGCATGAAAAATTTTAGTTCTAAGAATTTTTTATTTTGAAGGCATAAACATTTTAATATTGTTTAAAATTTTGAAAAATTTTGCCAATAATTTGGAATTAATTAATTAATAAATTAATTTGAAAAAAAATGCCAATAAATAAAGACAATAAATTTGAAAAAAAGACATTAATTTAAGAATTTACTATACTTTCATGGTTCAACATCCTGATTCGCCGGCTCATATCACGTGACCTCAAGTGATCTCATCTCGCGTAAACTACGCTACAAAAATCTAATTCTCTTAGTAATTATCTACATTAATTTCAAGCTAAAACTTAATTTGGGATGCAATTTTAACTGCAAGAATTATTTCAATTCGTACGAATAGCTTACTCGAAAATTATGTAAAACCGTAGTGCTTTACTTCGCTAGAGCATTTTCATTAGAAGTGATGAATTTAACCCTTCACTTTTCTATATTTTCGCGTTAGGGTGAGCGGTGTGATTGCATCCTAATTGACTCAGGGCCAGATTACCAATTAGGCACAGTAGGCACGTGCCTAGGGCCTACGAAGACCAAAGGGCCTACGAAGGCCAAAGGGCCTACGAAGGCCAAAGGTCTTAGGGCTTTGAAAAAAAAATATACCCCAAAAACTTATAAACATTTTATATTATTATATAGTGAAGGTCAAAATAATATGTAAATACAAATACACAAAAAATACGAATACAAAACGTTTGGTTTACTAAGTAGATCCTAAAATAACTCCTTTTTTCGGGATTTTGACACATCGAATTCGTGTATTATATCTTCAAAATTAATGCCGCGAGCGACATCACTTTCAATACACAGAAGGCCCAGTGACGAAGTTCTCTCTTGACCCATAGTTGAACGCATAAAATTTTTTATAAGCTTCAACTTGGAGAATGATCTTTCTCCTTCTGCATTCGAACCCAATATCGAAAGGTATATGCGCAATGCAATATTAACATTTGGGAAACTTGACACAAGTTTATTTTTTTAATTTGATTTGATCCGAGAGGTGGTTTTGGGTACAAATTTGAAAAAATCAAATACTCATCAACAAAGTTTTCTTCTAAGTCAGACGGATACATTTGAGCCTTACCAGAGCTTGAGCCTTAACCAATAATTGTCCTCGGTCAGTGTATTATCCGTAAGAAACTCTAAATGTGTCATAAAGGCTCTACGCAGTGCGTCTCTTTGTCATTTCAGCGCAAAGCACATCCAGAACAATAAAAAAACACATTAATCTTAAAGGGAATCTTTGGCACTGCGAGAGGGAGTCTCATCTGGCCCTTCATCGAACTGTCGTTTTCTCTTACGAACTCTAGTTTCGGATTCTTTAAATTCTGAATCTGGTGGTGCAAGGGCTTTTGCCTTAAGATAATAGCTATTATACATGTCCTCAGTTCTGCAGTGAGATATAAATATTGAATTAAACGTAAAGTCGCACCATCGTGTTAAACTCGATGCCAGGTTCTTGAAGAGATTTATTTACAATATCGACGTGTTTTAGTAGATCTTCCCAAATAACTGTGAGTAATACCATCTCCAAAGTATTCATTTGATGGATTAAGGTTTGTGCCTCAATCACTGTTGTAGGTTTCATACCTTCACTAGTTGAAATATTTGTAAGAATACCACGTATATCATCATAATGGGCACATAATGTTTTTACAGCCTCATAACGTGCTGACCATCTGGTCTCTGAAAGTCTTTTTACAGAAATTTTACTTCCCAAAGACCTTAGACCTTAGTTAGACCATCTTTGAGGGGACGCTGCAAAGAAATTGTAGAGCGATTGCAAAATTTCAAAAAATTTTACAGCTTCTAAGCAGCTTTCTGCCGCCGCTGTGCCAACTAGATTAAGACTATGAGCTCCACATGGTACCCAAGTGGCTGCGCTGTTGATTTCCCTAAATCTAGTTTGTACTCCCGAATACACTCCGCTCATATTAGCCGCATTGTCATAAGACTGACATCTGCAAAATTTTGGGTCTATTCCCTGATTTTCTAAAACTGAAATTAGAGTGTCAAAAAGATACTTGGCATCATGTTTTTCTATTTTAACAAACATCAAAAATCTTTCATATATATCTCCAGTTTTTGAGACATATCTAATAACTATGGAGAGTTGATCCGTATGGCTAACGTCAGGTGTAGAATCCACAGTGATTCCATAATACTTGGCTTCTTTGATTTCTGTAACTATTTTTTCCAATACTTTTGACCCCAGTAAAATTATTAGTTCTTCATACGTTGTGGAGGATAAATATGATACTTTTCCGCGGCCTGGATTACCGTATCTTCTTACATGTTCTTCTAGAAACGGATCAAATTTGGCTAAGAGATCGATACACCCAAGAAAATTGCCATTACTAGGATCACCATGTATTTCATTATCGCCTCTAAACGCTAGTCCCCTTTCGGCCAAAAACTTAATTACTTCCACTACTCTTCTTAAAACCGTTTAAACCGTTGTCCAATATGTGCTTTCTTTTTCCTTGACAATATCAAACGTCTCATCAATTTTTCTAGTTTGTTGGTAGTTCACTAAAGCAGAAATAGATGCAAAATGTTCTTTTGACACTTCATGACTTGAAATTCTCGAATGTGCGTTTTTCCAGTCATTAAAGCCTGTAAGGAATTGGTTACACAGGTTTGGATTTCCAGGTAGGTCCGATTTGAACAAAATACATTTATAACAAAAAAAACTTGCCAGTAGATTCGGAAAATATCAACCAGTCCCTTTTTATAATATCATTGTTGTTCAGTTTTCTGAAAAAATAATCTTGTGATGGACATCTCATTATTTCGCGCCAAATTTAGTGGCGTATAACTTAAAATTTATATCCAATTTCTGCACAGGGTGATTACGAGAGAAGTAATCGATAAGATCTGCGCTTATGGTTGTCCACCGTGCTGGATCAGAACTGAAAATACTTGAGGCTGATGTTGTTGGTAGTGATTCAGGCACCACCTGCTTGGAAGCGTCGTTAAAATTTCGTAAACCCCCGTCAGCCTCGTCTTCTGTGACATCTCAGTTTTATTGGTTGAACATTCTTGCGAGTCCCAACAAGCCTCAGCTTCTTTAGGTCTAACCTCGATCGAGGAAATATCTACCGCATCTGCATATTATCTTCTGTCTCCTTAGAAATGTTAACATATTTCAATAAAGAACCTTTAATTTTACTAAGCGACTCACTCACTTTCTCTTTCTTTTTGCGTTTTTCATGTCCACTTTGGTGGTGTTTCTTTTATATCCATCAGACATTTTTCGCTAAAAAAAAAATATTTAAAAAAAGCTTTTATAAATTGCGCTTAAAAGTTTAAAATAATTTTTTAACTTTCTGATATACCATAATAAAAGCGATGGGCACGCACAAACTAAAATTTAAACTTGTTTTCTCCTTCTTCTCGTCACCTTTAAATATACATTTTAGTTTGCGCCCGTCGCTTTTATTATGCTATCAGAAAGCTAAAAAGTTATTTTAAATTTGTTAAGTAATGCATTTTAAACTTGTAAAAACGAAACCCGGATTTACGAGTATGGATTAAAATTAAGCTATTCCAAAGGTGATTTGGACTGTACTATTTCTACGACTACTACTACTGGAGATTTTTTTACAATAGTATGGCCAAACCACCCCATAGTAGGCCTACTCAAAGTTCCTTTGCATTGTGCTGCATTCTACGGCGGACTATTATACTAATAAGAAGTGATAAAATGAAAATTCTATTATTTATAATGGAATGAAGCAATATTCCAGAATCAAAAACTAGGTTGAAATAAGTAGAGTATAAAAAAAAACAACTTTCCTTTACTTACCTTACTTATAATATAATAAATTAACTTCCAGTTTTTAAACTAAAGATTGACTTGGGGTTGAGCGTGATTAAATACAAGCACAGGCATACACGCTCTATCGTAGTGTTTACATATTAACTTATTACACAACTGAGCTACTAAAACAAAAGACCTTAGCAGCAGGGAAAACCTCTCGATCGCGCGCAAGCGTTTGGTAGTGGGCATGGAAACGTGGCCAACTGTGTCAAACGCATGTGCCCGTCCGAGAGGTTTTCCCGGCGGCTAATGTCTTGTCATGTTCATGTACTAAACCCTACTAAAACCCTGGAATTCTGCATGGAATTTGGTAGATATAAAAGTTGCATTGTTGCAGATAAACTCAATTCTGGAATTATGGCTATTGAAAATGGCTCTATGAAAAATAAAAACATTAAAATCCCAAATAAAATAATGTTTTATTTTACCCGCATCATCACATTTTCGGATTTATATCTACAACAAAATTATTACTTAATATTAGCGGTCAATTTCAGTTAAAAAATGTTTATTATTTCGGGGCCTACGCTGCTGGAGTGCCTAGGGCCTACGACACCCTTAATCCGGCCCTGAATTGACTTAATTAAAGCGAATGGCCTTAGGGCATAAAACTGAACTATCTGATAGAAATTCTATGTAACTGTATGCCAGTATTGAAAGAAATAATCAATCTGATAAGAAATGGCTGCGATTTGTTTTGAAAATGATGCGTAAAAGGTTACCAGAGGGAATATTCCGTTAGGCATCATTTGTACCATTATTGGCGACTTTATCGCCTGCGCCGTCAAAACTGAAAAGTACTGAATATTTTTATATTTATAAAAGCATTGCATCACGTGGTTTCATGTAGCTATATATCTCACTTAAATGAAGCCTCTTACTATCATAACAGTTAATTATACCTGTACCAGACAGTTTTTTTTTTTTTTTTTTTAATGCAACTTGTTCAGAATAACAATGCCAATAGTTTCTTCTATTAGTAGATAACCCTGAACAATCACCTTACCCTTTATAATACTATTGGTGGCTGTGATTGTTTATGTCGATTTCGTACATCGCTCTCTAGTATAAAAACTGATTATTACCTGCTATTTGAAACAATTCAGTTAACTGATTATTACCTGCTATTTGTAACAATCCGGTTCCTTGTTATTCATTTTTGCGCAAATTACATTCTATTATATTCATTTGTTTCCTTTTTATAAATTTTAAAAATCTTTTCGGACTGGGGACCACTTTGTATATTTGATGAAATTATTATTTGTATTACTACAACTTTCCCACACTTAAGAGAATTTCGCAAAGAAACTTTCTAAAGACACTTTTATTTGCAAATTAAGTTAATAGATTACGATACAGCGCACGAGGGCTATTTGCCTAATGGAGAGAATTCTTCACGGAGGACCTTAAGTACATTTAACTCGATATTCTAAGCAAAAATATATAGGAAGTAAATCAACTCATATGTTGGGATTTGAACTCGGTTACAGGTAGTAGTATGTTCAACCGTGTTTTCTACACTGCTGGCCATTAAAATTGCAACACCATGAAGGAAAGCAAATACAAAATAGATATTTATTGTACGTGAACAGTAGAGCATGAAGACAAAATGATTAAAATTGTAAGCAGTTCGGGGGGGGGAAGGTTTTGACGAACAACTAGCAGTTTGACTATAGTGTATGTAGCCGTTTGGGTCTCTTCCCTAGAACGGGTCTTAGGGCTATGTCCAACATACGCTGAAATTTTTCCGGAGCTCCGCGTGAGCTAAGCGGCATTCTTAAAGTATATACTCCTGAGTTCGTTATACAAGCAGTTTTTTCGACATCTTCGGGCTTTACGACAATTTGAAAATAATCTGACGTCAGGTCGAGCTTAGTAGAATATGTCTTGTCTGTCTAGTAGAATATGTCTTTTTTGAATAATTTTGTCTATAATTGGCAGGGGATATACTGGATGTTTTGTGATACTATTTAATTTACGGAAGTCAATGGCATATCTCATTTGTTAAATTCGAGTGTCATTTTAAAGATAACAAATTTTAATGGAGTTGGGAAACAAGAAACGTAAACTATGTTTTTGCCTTGCTTCGAAAACGGCTCTTTCCGGCTCTTGCAGTTGCTGAACGTGATAACCATTGGAATCAGGACAGTACATTTGAGGGTATGGGATAATTCCTTACAATCCTGCTGCCATTTAAAGAGCAGTTGGGGAGAAACACTAGACCCAGTTGACAAAACGGTGACCAGTTATCGCCAACCAAATTTTAGTTTGGAAACCATTGTAGCCATTTAAAAGCGATAATAGCCACTGGAGCCAATAGATTTTTTTTGGAGTGATAAATATGAAAAATCAACTGCGATGTCGTCAGAATATAAACTTCGAAATTTTATATTTCCAAGTGGATATGGTAACCTCTTACATTAAAAGAGTACTCATATGGAAATGCGGTAATACTTTATACCATTTTAAAAATATTTGGCTAAGCACTCTTCTCTAAACATCCGATATAATTTAATGCCTTCGAATTTATTTTAAGAAAAAAAGAAAAAAATATCCTTACAGAGACCAAATTAACATTAAACAAAAAATCATTTTGAAGATATCAGAGGTATGTAATACCATTCAAATCAATAATCATCAACCCGATGGAACGTTCTTCCTTGAATTAAATACATAGTATTACTGATTTGTTTCAATTTTGTTTCAATACATCAGCATGGAATTTCATTTTTGCCGATTCTTTCAATATATGTTACGACATCGACATGCTCACACGCTTAAATTATCAAGTGACTGTAAGCTACCTCAAAAAGAAAAACGCTTTCTCCTGCGAAGCTAAGGTTAGTGAAGGAAACTTATTGCATAATAGGAAAGTAACATTTTAAGCGAAAAAGAATAATGATGCAACGAAACTTCCCTGAAATGCTAGTGATTGTTAATTTTTGTCTTTTGTGGATGTGACCGCCTTAAAGAATGTGACAATCAGGATGTCCACTGCTGTTATTTTAATCATGTGCTTATCACTTTCAGATGTGGCTGTCTTAGAAAATGGTCGCGATGTGTAGTTTACTACCTGTTTTTTAAAAGGAAAATTACTGTTTATTTTTTAACATTCGTCTTTAATAAGCTCTCTTACGATATTCAGATTTTATTAATTCTTAATTCACGAATGTCTGCCAGTGCATTAGTAGCTTCAGCATATTTTATATATAGGAATTGCATCTTCTGGTCTGTTTAATTATATCAGTAGATAGACAATAAAAATGGGATGATAGAAGGTAAACGAAAAGCGACAATTGTTTTTATTCCGACTTCACAAACCAGGAGTTACGGTATATTTATTAAAAGTTTCATTATCGAGTTAACATCTGACTATGTTAGAAATTTAGCAATTCAAAATTTAATTAGAATGATCACTTTATAAGGTATTTCTCCCGCTTCTTAGCATGCCTTCGTAGTACAGTCGTCTGCACGCTGGGCGCGTATTTCAGAGGTCCGTAGTTCGATTCCCGGCGAAAGCGTTGCTCATTTTTCATCTTGCCTGCTTCCAAAAATGCCTAATGTCTTTACAGTGGTGCCCGAACTAAAAGGGTGGTGGATGATGATTCTCCACACCCAGGATTTGGCGATTGGGTCTCCTAAAAAAACCACAGTCGCCCTTTAAAAGGGGGAGTATGTAAGGTATTTTCCCCGCCTTCTTAGCATGCCTTCGCAACGTAGTGGTCTGCACGGTGGGCACGTATTCCAGAGGTCCGTGGTTCGATTCCCGGCTGCGTCTCTCGCAGGACACATGAGAATCAGGATTCTTAAAACATTCTCAGCCTGTGCCAAGACATTGCGACTTAAGTAGGACATCCACAGGATTCTTTGTATTATGGGAGAAAGCCAGAATGTCACAAAATAACTGGCAAATTAAGAATGTGGCAGAATTTAGAGCATTAATTAAATCATTTCATATGCGAATAATAACTAGTTTTATTTTATTTGTGCAGTAAATACACGTTGATCAGACAGAGAAGACCATGTCTCTAATAATAATAAATTGCATTTTTACAAGAACACAAATTATTATACGGTGCCTGAAAAAATTTCGATCAAATGAGAGTTTTTGCTGCACTTACGATGATGATACGGCTGTAGTTATCATTAATATAAATTAACTAAGAATGTTGCCAGACTTAAGTCTTGCTTAATGTGGATATTTTTACTTGCTACTGATTTGCAAATAACTAGGAATGATAAACAAGAAAACATTGAAACTTCATTCAAATGAGTAAATTCATACAACAAAGTAAACAGAGTTACGAATTTTGTATATATATTAATAATTTTAATGAAATTATATGTAAATTGTAATATTTCTTGTATAATGTACTAGAAAGCCCGGCGGGTCATACGAAATGACCGGTGTTCTAGATATTATAAATTGT